AGATAGATAGATAGATAGATAGATAGATGTACAGAATGAGAACAGATAGATAGATAGATACATAGATAGATAGATAGATAGCGTTGTAACCTAGGAAGGATTAATGAATTAGTAATAACCAAAACAGAGCTTGTAAATGAAATACTAATTGTTATAATATCAACAAACTACATAACTCGCTCGCAGCATGAAATAGGTAAACCACTGCTTGTAGCGGACTACTAAAACAGCATATTAACCTTCACTTACAATACTGTCCAACGTATTTATAAGGAGTGGGATATACGCATTAGTGTTCATAGGTACCATATATAATACAAAACAATTAAAAGACGAAAATAAAAAGATGAAATTGAAAAGATTAGAAGATATAAAGAAAGGAAAAAGCTTGAACACACGCTCAATTCATCAATCATAAGATATAAACAACAATCGATTATATTGATACCAAGATACAAGGAAGTTAGCAAATTTAGATTGATTGATTGATTCGTTTTCTCCGGCTTATCAACACTTTGTAGGTTATTTAAAGCCAGGACATATTTTTTAGATTGTAAGAATCTTTGGGTGGGGGGAGGCAATAACGATTTAATGATACAAGTATTACTAATTAAATAACAATAACAAAGGGAAATAACTCAAAGTCAACACTAGAAGTGTTCAGATAGACGAGAAATATGGCGGCAAATAATAAGAGAGTTAAAACTGAAAATTCAGGATTAAACAAAATGTTATAACCTAGAAAAGCTTACTGAATGGGGAATAACCAAAGACGGAGGTTGGAAATGAAATGGTATTCTTTATAACATCAAAAAAATATAATACTCGCCAGCAGCGTGAAGCAGGTAAACCACTGCTAGTAGTGGACTACTTAGACAACATATTACCCTCCACTTATAATAGTGTCCAACGTATTTATGTGGATTGGGACATAGCCGTTAATGTTCATATGTATGGTACATAACAAAGAGTAAATACTCTATCGTTCCTCCTTTCAATCAGTTTAAGTTTTGTCAACTACTACTGACGATAAATCAGAAGGTTTTTGCTCGGAAGTTTTCTTCTAGATAATATTTTGAGTAACCAGGAGTATCTTTGCCCGACTTTCCCCCTACAACAGAATATATACTGTGCCATATGCGAATAACTGCGTCCACAGTTTCTGCTATCATCACCAAAATAAATCCAAACAGGACATACGGAGATGACGGTATTCATGCAATTTGTGTTAAGGAAATGTGTTCCCTGACTCGCTCCTATTCCCCCTAAGCTTTACAACAAATGTTTTGCTACTTTTTAGAAAATCCTCTTCCGTAGTTCGTGATTCTAAGGACCCAGTTGAGCGGTCGGATCCCTCGAATTATCGTCCTATTGGTCTTCTACCTCGTTTTGGCAAGCCACTAGAGGCTCTAATCAACACCGGATTGGTTACACATCTCACTTCGCACTGCCTTTCTTCAAACAAACCATATGTCGTTGGATTCGCAAGGTACGGTGGAGTAATAGGTAGCTGCTCCGAGTTCGATTTCCAGTCGAGTTCATTACATTCCCTTACGTGCTGATATCATTGGGAAAGGTGTGAATCTATTCCTCAGGACAGACTATATCCTACAACCTTAAGTACTAACCCGTCTAAGAGAAGGACAACTCTGAATTTAAATCATCTGGAGAGGGTTGGACATCATCAGACTGTCTTCTCCAAGACACAGTATTGCTGCTATAGCTGAAGTACATGGGGTGCTCCGACGACCTTAATCGGCTACGGGACACGGAATATCTATTAGGTTGGTGCAAAAATAATGACGTAATAATGTCGTTTTTTGACGTATTTTTTAACGTCAAAAAACGACATTCTTACATCATTATTTTTGCACCAACCTAATAGTTCAACCGCCGATGCGTTAACTCTTATTACTTAATGATTTTCTTTTATTGTCCTTTCTTCTCACGAACATTTAATCGTCTTCCTTCAATCTCTGTAAAACTGTGTGTCTCAGTCGTATTGTCACCTTGCACAGGGCGGGGGAAACGATTAAAAAAAGAACCTGCCTCACATCGACCAATTTCTCGGTTAGCTATTCTTGACCATTCCTGAGGACATCTTTGGAAAGGAGACAATACGTTGACTGACGTTGATTCTCACCGTACACTCTTTGTACGTACAGTTAAATATGAGGACAACAGATGTAGCCAAACGAAAAACATGCACAAAAATTTGGCTCCGTACAGTTTAAATGTCGGCTAATTTCAGACAATAGTAACGAACTGAGATTTTTTATGTTGCTTCATTTGTTAACCTCTTACAGGATATTTAAAGACAGAAAACATGTAAGATTTTGAGCTCTCCGATTAACAATTTTGAGCCATTATGTATTAAAACCCCCAAGCTTAGAGCACCTGATATTCCCAATCGGTCACCCATCTATGTACTGATTAAGCTCGATGTTGCTTAACTTCGGTGAACGTACGGGAACCGGTGTTTCAGCGTGATGCGGCCGTAAGCTTCAGGTAGACAAAATATCTAATAATCAAAACATCTACAAACCGTAATATTTCATAAAGATATTGTTTTTTGCTTATAACATATGAAAACAAAATATCCGCAAATCGCCAGATCCAATGAAAAAACGTGGGAAAATTTTCTACGCGTCATTGTATGGAACATCTAAAAAAAAAAATCTATAAACTACAATATCCATAGGAACAAAAACAAACAAAACAAGTCAATAAGCTATGATATCGGAAGTGAAACAGATCGAGAGACCAACGTACGAAACGTTTCAAGACTCTCGCTACTCGTTCACTAGTTTCATGGCAAATGTTCAGAAGACCTACATTATATAGTCCCACAAGTTCAAATCTTCAAAGATATGAAGCATCATGCCACAGTATCGAGACATCTATATGACCTTTGTACTCAATTTTTAAGGAGGAAGTTTCAATCGCACAGTTTCTTCCTCAGAATTGTTACGTTGTGAAACAAACTGCCGAGACTTGCCTATTGCCCTATATATATATATATATATATATATATATATATATATATATATATTTTATAGAGAGAAAGAGAGAGAGGGGGGGAGATACAGACAGCAGACAGACAGAAAGACCGAGAGAGTGCAAGAGAAAGAAAAAAAATTGATACATAGATATATAAATTTGAACATGCTGATAGATAGATAGATAGATAGATAGATAATGAAGAAGCTAACATAGATAGATAGATAGATAGATAGATAGATAGATAGATAGATAGATAGATAGATAGAGAAGATGCTAAGCTAGCTAGCTAGCTAGATAGATAATGAAGAGGCTAACATAGATAGATAGATAGATAGATAGATAGATAGATAGATAGATAGATAGAAATATGTCACGAACAGAGTAATATACGACAGAGATAGAGGAAACCAAACAGTTTGGAAGCACAATGCAAGCTTAGTTCTTATTTCTCATTCAATGTATAAAAATAATGCTTAATACAAATGCTCTCACTTTGTACGGATAGGAGTAGAAGATAACGGTTAACCCTAATATTGAACAGGCTAAGATTTTAGTGATCGGGGAAACATCCTCTTGGGAGTTGGTACCAGAGAGTAGTGGTTCGCGGGAAGATGCTCTACGAGTGGAAGATACTCGTCACTGATGCATTACAGAGGGAGTATCGAGAGTTGCTACTGTAGATGGCATGGCGTCTCCTTGCTGTGAAGCTTTGAATTAGTGGGACCAGGGAATATAGTTCCTCCGAGCGATAGTAGCGATAGAGCATCGAGAGGCTTACCTCATCCCCTGCCTGTAATAGAGCAAGTAAATCTGTTGTAGATGCTCTAGCGATTAAAGCACTTTCTATGACATTTCGTCTAAGTATTAATTTTCTAAGCGTTGCTTAGGTGTGGCACAAAGCCAAAAGTATGGGGCACCCATTCAGGATGGAACTCACTATTCAGTCTTAACTGTTTTAGCAAGACAAACTTTCTAATCATTACACTACGCCGAGGTGCTCGCTTTTTCGTCTTAGTAAATTGCTTTCTCCTTTAATTAAATCAGCATTTGTAAGTAAAATATTATGGCCAGACGTTGAGGAACTGAGCAATGAGCGTGTTATTTTGTAAATTATTTCGGTTATGATTATATATTTTTTATTTAAATTTCTTAACGTTTCGCCTATGTATTCCTTTTAGCAATTATTACAGGTGATAGTGTAAATTGCTCCTTCAACTGCTAGTTTATTATTATTTTTATATTAATTATGTTCTTTTTTGTTTTAAAATAGTTTTAACACATTTTATATTAAGTGTAGGCAAATACTTTCCAGTTGTAAGTGTGGTAGATTTAGAGCAATATATTTTGATACCTAATTATTTCATATTCAACTCGGAAAAAAGGCACGTAAAATAGTTAAAAATAGAAGATTTTATCATTCTAACAAACACATTGCATAAAAATATATAATTCAGAATTTTTAAAATGATCTTGTGTGTGATGACAGGTTTTACAATCGGCAAACTCTTTCCCTCTTAGACCTAGGTATGACAATAAACTTCATACGGCATCAAAGCCTCTGGTTGGAAGCTTGGAGGTTTTGAAAAGCGTGGAACCACCTCTTAATTACTGCTGTTCTCAGGTCCACCCTGACTTGGTTTGTAGCACCTGTTAGGGGCCCCAGCTATGGGCAAATAGTGTACCCCAAACTAAAGTCAATACACTAGAAATGTATAAAATACATTTTTATAGTAAGAATACTAGCAATACATTATTATAACAGTAACAACAATATATAATCATAGTAAAATGACCAACAACACGTTTTTAAAACAAAATGGCCAGAAATACATTTTATAGTATAATTACCAAAATACATATTTATATCCAAATGAAAATCAATGCAATATTAAAAATGTATAAGCATAACTTTTTTATAATAATATTACCATCAATACATTTTTATTAAAAAAATACCAACAATACATTTTTGTGGTGAAATTACAAGTAATGCATTTTTAAATTACCAGCAATACATTTTATAATCTACAAATTTCATAGCTAAAAAAAAAAAACATACGTTTAACCTGAAAGTATAAAATTATCTACCAAATATCTGTAACTGAAGCCATAAAACCCTGTTCAAAATATTTAGATTTCGTCATTAAATAACATCTAGAGATTGATCTAACATTAAACAGTATGAGACAATGATGTAGCTCAGATCATTACAAGACTGGGCATAAGCTATGGTAATCTTGGGCTGCTCGCGCGTCAAGAACATCCATTCGGCGTTGGAGAAGGAAAAGCTAAGATAAAACACTTTCGTACTAGGGAAGCCGCAGAAATTGCCGGAAGGTATCACATTACGCTACTTAAACGTATTAGAGGCTCCTATAAGTAACATACTATTACCACTTATAATATTACTATAAGGTAACCAAAAAATTCCCTGCCGTTTTTTCTTTTTACGTTGTTTAGGAAGAAGTAATCATTGATACGCAGTTGATTGCGTCACCTGCCTGGAAAGCAGTGGAAGTGGTGGGGGGCATTGCTCGTGACTGATGCAGGTGTATTGAGCACACACATCAGTCATAGCACGAGTAACGGCGAGAAAGCATGGCAGTGTCGAAGCACTTTCTTCGGAGCTGTCTGCTTTAAAATATAGTTTTTATCTTCCGTAGACCAACAGATTACGATCTTTTCCATGCCCTTGAAAACCACCTTCTTGAATAATCCTTCGGAAAATAGGCATACGTCGTAGGCACCTGATTTTTTACCGCCAGGGCATTGCACAGCTAGATGCTCGTTGACAAAAGATTCTGGATACCGATGGGAATTTATTTGAGGACTAACGGCATGTCAAATTTGCTGTGTACCTTCGTTATCTAATGAATAAAAAGGACAAGGACGTTTTGTTTACAATGAAATATATGTAAGACAAAACAAAAACAGCATATGTGGCTGATTCGAGCGTTTATCTTCCCAATTATTCAGGCTTAGAATATTGCAGCCACATATAGTCCGACGCTCTTGTTATATATCGAGAGATTCTTGATCATTTCCAAAGAAGAATCCGTGATAATATTAATCCTGATCTTGCACCTCGGCTCCAGTCACTTCTCCAACCGCCGTACAGTTGCCTCCTTGTACGTTTTTTTATAAATAATTTCATGGTAATTGTTCGGATGAGCTCGTCGATATGTTACCAAGACTATAAATTTAAGTACAGTACTAGATTGATGAAGATGACTCATCTATATACAGTTGAGTTGGTTAGCTGTTACCATAGGTTCCATGTTAACAGTTTTTTTTTGTCGCACTTCTCTCTTGTGGAATTACCTTCCGGTTGCATGTTCTCCAGTCATCTTTAATCTTCAAAAATTTAAATGCAATGTCTATCGTTATCTAATGTCCTCCTGATTACTCTTTTTCTGTTCTTGCTTATTAGTAATGTTTCTGTTTTCTATTCTGTTTTGCCTATACCGTGTATTTACAACTGGTCCATTCTTTACAAGTTTGTAACCCATTCTAACCTTCCTGAATACCAGAGAAATTAAGGCAAATATGGACTCTCGTACAATAATGTTCATACTGTACAAGGCCCAGATGGTTACATAGTAAGGTTTAAGGTGCGCAGTTTATGAGGATATGTGGGGCAGATGCTTAGGTTTGATCATTCAAACATCGCTTGCTTATGCAGTCAGTTATGTGCTATGCGTGATACACGCTTAAGCGATCATGTATCTTTCGATACATGACTGATGAGTCAGATTTTTTCCCGCAGTAGGTTTTCATTTCTTTTTGCGGTAAACCAGTTGCCATAGAAAGCTATAGAACCCGGTCTATCCTGCTACTTAGCCATAGCTGGGGCGGGGAAGAAGAGGTTTCATACCTTCTGCAAGGGTTTTTAGCCCGTAAGTGAATGTAATGGATTCGCCCGGATTTCGAACTCGGCTCTCTGATTCCTCAGTTAGCTCACCATTTAAGTATCAGGTATCAAAAGTTGATCCTTCATAGGAGATAAGCGTTAATTATCAATTAATGATTTAATCTTTTTCAAAGAATACGGGTATCATTCAGTCATGAGTTTTATCTAAATGGCCAATTGGCAACTCTAGAATTCATGAAGTTAATATTTACTAGGGATCATGAGCTTTCCTGGAGCATTTGCCTGCAAATAAATGTGAGGAAATAAATCAAAGACAGTGCTGTCTGAGAGCATATTTCTAGAAAAGACAACGTGAAACGGGCTTCAAGATGTATCATACTTTTTAAAATATTAAGCTTCTTCTTCTTCTTCTTTTCTTTCTTCTTCTTCTTCTTCTTTTCCTTTTTCTTCTTCTTCTTTTCTTTCTTCTTCTTCTATGTTCCGTGTCCCTTCAGGACGTTGTCGAACATGGCGTTCCACAATTTTTTGTACTTTGCAGCTCTTAATGAATTTAAATTATCTCCCTTAAACCTTGGGTAAATTTGCTTTTTTAAGCCCAGCGCTAAATATCTATTAAATTTTTCCCA